TTTAAAACTTTTATATAAACGTAAAATTTTACCAGTAAGGGTCCAGCAAGAGACAGATGGCACATTCAAAATAGGCTAGCTCAAGGATTTTTTTTTTGCAGATATTTTTTACAAAGGTGAGAGTAGGGAACCACAGGGTGGGTGCAGCCACCACGGAGGGGTTACCGGAAGTCAGCCTGTTACTTACTGTCTCTAGGCCTCCAAGCAAAAGGAAGAGGGGTCTTATCAGGCTCAAAGCAAGAGAGTCATTTAGATCCTCTGCCTTGATGGGAGCAATGACAGGTTGAGGGACATGGGCCACCTTGTAGGGGTCAGCTACCGGAAGGAAAACACTGGTCTCACTTTCCTTTCTCCTTTCCATCTCCTTTTAGGCCTACTTATTGACTGAACCTGACTGTAAGTAGAGGCACAAGAAGTCATTTATATATTCTGTTCAAGTCAGGATCAGAGGGCAGGAGAGAGGGCCAGAGTGGTTTTAGGTGAAGAATGGGAAATGGGAAATACCCAGCACATATATGGATTCTCCTGTTTATAATAAGCCTTCTATCTATCTGCAGAGCTATTCTTCCCAAGATACACATAACTGAATCTCTAATTTCTTCATGGTTATATTTTTAGTCAGCCTTTCCTGGCTGCTCTTTCTAAAATTTCAATGTCTCTTCTAGAAACTTTATATCTTCTTTCTCTGTTTAATACCCCCCTAGCAGTTGCTATCTTTCATAGTAATGTATGCATTTATCTTGTTTGTTGTTTCTATTTGTCTAGAGTGTAAGATTTATGAGGGCCGAAAGTTTTGGCTCTTTTATCACCTTTGTGTCCCCAGAACAGAAAATGTTGCCTGACACTTAGCAGGTGCTCAGTTAATCTTTCTGGACCAAACAATGTTGATATATGGACAGATAGTTCTTCTTCCCTCTAAGAGTATGCTTTCTCTCTAGTTCTGTTGCTCCTTGCTGTTAGATTAACAAAAGCAATCTGAAGCAGAAGGAGAAAGAACGAGATCTCTTTACATTTCTTTCCTACCCATCACCCAGAGGTGGGCAGTGAAATGGGGAGGGTGGAGCGAGCAGGGTTTGGCCAAGTTTGTATTAGGATTTATGGGTCAGCTATCCTGCTGGAAAAGGTTCCTCTTTCTGTTTTCCATGGCGAGTGGGGCTGGCAGAACCTAGAATTTGTAGCATGGTCACTTGGTAAAGAAACTTGCTACACCCTTGGTTTTTAAAGCAACACACCCTGCATAGGGAAGAATGAACACTTATTTTGATTTACTGAGCATGGCGACTAAATTCTCAACTGTGGAACGTACTGTGGGACAAAAGTCCTGGAGCTGTGGAGTCCTCTAAGGGTGGATGCCCCGTGGGGGCCCCATGGGGCATTCTGTCTGTAGTTGGTATTGCCTAGGGCGGGGATTGAATTGAGCAGCGATGATTCATGGAAACTCTCAGAAAAGGTATTCTGTGCTTTGTCATGGGCTAAACTGCGCAGCCAAGTCATTCTGGAAGGAATGTGTGTGGCGTTTTCAGATGAGGTCTTGAAGCTTTTTAGGTTGATTCAAACCATCTGTTTAATGTGAAGTTAAACCCAGCACTTTTTTTTCCATACATCTTTCACAGCGTTTATCAATTCCATCTTATAAATATTTGTTGAAGTGATGAAGAGTGCCAGGAATTGGGGTGAAAAAGTGAATGACACAGTTGTTCCTGTTTTTGAGATGTATATGGTTTTAGTGGAAATAAAATTTTATGTATATATGTTTTCTTCCTGTTCATTGTGAAGTCAATGGTTGTAATTTATAAGAGTCTTGGTTGCCAGGGCTGAGCATTGTATCAACCCATTTTTGTTTATGAAATGAATTCATGAAAGAGTACATAATTTACTGAAAATGGCTACTGCACTGCGAAACATTATTGTGCATCACTGCTGCTGTGCTATGTAGATTCAGATTGTAATTCCCTCTGGTTACAAACAGATTTCACTGTGAGGGAGTGACCACAACTGCAGCATTCGCACATAATAAAGATGCTGGAATAGCTGACAGACACAAGCTATTTTGTTTTCTGAGATTTAAAATGTTTTTAATATGATGAAAAGGCAGCTATTATGTAACATGGTAAGATGTTGGTAATATTAGTTATAACGATTTTTCCACTTTTCTGAGCTGGTTGTAAAAATCACACTAGTTGGCCGGGGATTTAGCTCAGTGGTTCCAGCGCCTGCCTCAAAAGCGCAAGGTTCCGAGTTTGATCCCTGGTACAAAAAAAAAAAAAAAATCACACTAGTCACTTCATCTTTTAATTTGGAAAGTATTGTGGTAGGCAATTTAAGAATCTTAAACACAAACAAAAGGGACTTTCCAAAACTGAGTTTAAAATCATGTATTGGCGATATTCTCAACCAGCTGCACATGGTGATAAGGAACCTTTTTTAAATAGTGCACAAATTTGCCTTGTAGGTGTATTTTTGTGAGACCATCCACCAAATTGTCCAGTGGTTCATGTTCCCAAAAGATGATCTTCTTTAGGAGAGTGACCTAACTAAAAAAAAAAAAAAAATGACACCACATGGGGATCATAAAGAGCCTTGGTGGCTTATATGAACTACACAGGTGGCATTCATTGTTAGATCTTGGGTCAGCTTTGTAGGAAAAAATTTCTTTGTTGTCAGTAATAAAGATTTTTCATACTTTTATGTATATAAATTATCTTTCCATTTTTCAGTTTGTGTCTCAGGACTTTTCTCTAATAAACTGACATAAGTTCTTTGTGTATCCTCATGTATCAAATTTTTTGATGTTATGGTAAACTATGATGATTGAAAACTAATTCTGTAAAGTTTTTGTTTTTGGTACCGGGGATTGAACTCAGGACCTTGCGCTTTTGAGGCAGGCACGGTGCCATTGAGCTAAATCCCCTGCCCTTAACTCTAAAGCTTTTAGATGCACAATTATGTATTTTCAGTCAATTCTTTAGATTTTTTCTTCATATTTCATTTAAATTCTTTTCATATCCACAGAGCACTTTATGTAAATGTTATGATCTGTGCATCAGTTTTTTTTCTTTTTGACGGCAGGTCACGTTTTCAGGTGTCTTCTCTGGCCAAGGTGATATCATTTATGTATCTGACACCAGGAGAAAGAAGATAAGGGAAGCTCTGCTCTCACTAATGAAATTTGTATAGTGAGATGGTTAGCTCAGGTTCCTGGGGATAGTCTTCCTAGATGTGAATTTGGCTGAGAACACGTGACCTTTCTAATTCACTCAATTTAACATGCCTTATACTGTGTATTTTTGGGAATAAAAATTGTATGAAAAGCGCTTAGGACAAAGGACAGCCACAGTTTAGTTCATGCTGTGTAGGTGCTTTACTGCTTCAATATACTTTGCATTTCTAAAATCATGAACGTTAAAAAAAAATCTTGAACATGTCAAGGTGATCTTCACACCCAGTAACTTGTTTCACCAGTCTCCCAGCGCCACTTTTTTAAAAGGGAGACACGACCCCTAGGGGCCACAAGTGGAAACCCGGCAGACCTGAGGGCTCAGGCCGGGAGCTGGACATCTGGAAAATGAGCCGAGTGGCCTCTTTCTTGACCCTCCTTTCTCCAGGAGCTTATCTCTTGTAATCCCAATCTTTCTAGAGTGCGAGTTCACATTCTGAGACACAGGACAAATACTGCGCTGGGCCAGCACTGTGCGGTACCTAGTCCTATGGGGCTTGCATCCAAAAGAAGAAACCAAGTGCGTATCCTGAGTAGAAGAGCAAATAATGATTCCTCTCAGCTTGTTTTCTCATCTGAAAAATGAGACCTACCTCGCAGGGTCGCTGAAATGCTCGGCGAGGGGAAAAGTCCCTAACAGGGGCCTGCTCGGTCCCGTTCCTGCCCCGATGGGGGGGGGGGGTGAAGCGTGCCGGCCTGGGACCAGAACCACGTTTCCCTAGGCCCAGACCTCGTCCCTAGTGTCTACCTTGAAGACACTACGGAAACTCTGGAAGTTATATACACTGGCATTCCAGCACCCTGGTTTCAACTGTCAGAAGCTACCAACCCCACACACGGGAAGGTCAGCTGAAAACCGAAACAACAAAACAAAAACAAAAACGAAAAAGCAACCCCTCCCCCAAACACTCCCATACAAAACTTCTGAAGTAAGCAAAGCAGTTGAGACGTCGCCCAAGCCAAGAGACCCGCAGAACTGAGCAGACGCCCCCCTGCCCCGCGGGATGGGCGGGACGTCCGGGGTGGGGCTTCTGGCTGGGCCACTTCCGCTTCCGGTCCCCAAATGAAATCTCCCGCCACCTGAGAAAAGAAGCTGTCAGTTGTGTTTTCGCTCGTTGGGGTGTTCTCAGGTAAAAGAAACTATCGCGAAATGACTTAGGACGGAGAGCAAACGTGGTATTGAGGCTTGTAAGCTGAGATTAAAAGGAGCACTTTTCCGGCAGTGGGAGCAGGTTTTACCTTGCGAGGCGGGGCTGTGGGCGGGTTAGGGCACAGGGCCTGCTGCCTGTGGGAGGATTTGAAGGATCCAGGTGGGAACTTTGAAGAGCACTTGTGGTCGGTTCCCAAAAGGAGTTCCGAATGACTGGATCCAAAAGACATTGTGCTTCTCAGGGTCATCAGAAAATAACAGGACACAGTCCATCAAGTCTCTCATCTAGCCACATTTTGGGATGGCACTTCTAGAAAACCCCATCTTAACTCTTGGGATCGCAGAGATCTAAGGGTGGCAACAAACTGTCCCTCAGTGAGCAGAACATCACCTGACTCTCATTTTGTTAAAGATTAGGACCATTCCCTGCATCTTCCCTACCAAACCCTCCCCCCGCCCCTTACAGAATTATAACAGGTGTGTTGTAGAAAATCTGGAAAATACAGAAATGTGTCACCCAGGGTTAACCACTTTGAACATTTTATTCATGCTTTCAACTTCACTGTGTGTTTTTCTGGGTATGTGGATTTATGTTTTGTTTTTTTCCAACTTTTCATGTGCTTCCTTTGAAAGGTGACCAAGATGCAGTTTTCTGGAGGAAAGCGGAGGAAGCTGAGGTTGGCAGGAGACCAGAAGAATGCTTGTTACCCGCATAGTCTTCAGTTTTACCTGGAGCCACCTTCTGAAAACATATCTCTAATAGAGTTTGAGAACTTGGCTATTGATAGACTTAAATGTAAGTGACATTTGAATTAGAATATATAAATTCTTGAGAAGCTCAGTTATAATTTGTCAGGGTGAATGAAAATCTTCATTCAGCAACCCATTCACCAAATATTTGAGTATTTGCTGTTGGGGGTTTGCTGTTTATTTATGTATTATAAAACTCATATTTGTTAGTACCAAAGTATTGTAAATGGCTAGTTTGAGGAAGTAATGTAAATCATATTTTTGTTGAAGCTGTGTTCTAGTACCTGCAGACAGATATCTAAAATAATAGTCATAACTATTTTTACTGCTTTAGTAGAAGTAAATAGTAGTGTTGTAGAAGTGTAGAAGTGGGAGTAACTGACTTAGTTTGATTGAGTAAGGCTTCTTAGAGAAGTCAAAATGTGATGTGTTCCTTGAAGGATGAGTAGAAAACTTCCAACAGAGAAATAGTGAAGGTTTTTTCCAAGCTGACATGATGCCTATACAAAAATTTGGAAGTGTCAGAGAGAATGTTATGTTTGAGGGAATGATGATAATTTGAGCATGGATGGTGAAGTATGGATAACAAAGGACATTTTGTGCTGTGCTTATGGCACAGTGTTGGATTGTCACAGGGATGTGACCACCATACTGGGACCCTGCTTTCCTTCCCTGTAAAGGAAGGAGTTAATGTGATTTGAAACAGACACTAGCACTGACTTCATAGTTTATGTTCCAGTACTGTATATCCTTGTGGAAGTATTAGAAGTGAGATACCATTTTTCATTCTTAGAGGAGCAGAGTGAGAACTGCTAATACAGAGAGGGGGCCCATTACTTGTTTGTGAAATGTAAGAGTGAAGGCAAGGGAGAAGGGATTTTAGAGAGCTTAGTAATGTCAGATGCTTCATAGGGATTAGGATAATGATAAAGATGTCCCTTAGATTTGGCACCCAGATGACTTGGTAAGGACCTGACCTAAAGTAGTGACAATGGCTGTGACAGGAAGGGAGAAATGAAAGACACTAAGGAGGTATTACCTGTTTATTTTTGGTGTTGTTGATTGAACCCAGGGCCTCACTCATGCAATACATGTGCTCTACCACTGACCTGCACCCCCTGCTTCTAAAGGAGTTATTGTTTACAGAATTTGGTTGTTGTTTGGATATGAGAGTGAGGTAGCAGGTTTAGGGTGGCTGAAGTTCCTTCTTGCATGATGTAGTGGTTGGAAACTAAGGGAGATGGGAATGGCAAGACAAGGAGCAGGAATAAGGGGAACATAATTTGGTTTGGGTGTAACTTACTAAGCGGGTATCTGTGGACCATGGGGTTTATGTTCAAGAGGCAACTTAGAAAATTTCAATAATTAAAAAATTCCTCAAGAGATTAATTCATCCAGCTGACACAGGCCTATAACCTTAGCACTCTGGGAGACTGAGGCTGCAGGATCACAAGTTTGAGCCAAGTCTGGGCATCTTAGCAACTTAGTGAGACCTTTTACTCATATCTCAGAATAAAAAATGAAAAAGGGCTGGGGATGGAGCTCAGTGCAAAGGCCCTGGGTTCAATTTGAGAGAGAGAGAGAGAGAGAGAGAGAGAGAGAAAGGGAGAGAGGTAGACAGAGACAGACAGAGACAAACAGATAGAGATAGACAGAGAGACAGAGAGAAAGAGTCAGCCAGAGAAGCATTGGCAAGAAACTTTAGAGATCTTTGAACAGTAGATGGTGTCTATTCAGGACAGTTCCCCTGGATGATATGATGGCCCCACTTCTTCACTGTTGTATCTTCTCCTTTTCTGCCTCATCAGGTAGGTTTTTCTTCCTCACTGAAATAGTTGACAATTAGTAATAATTAGTAATAATAGTGACTCACTGCAAGAAAGCTTATCCACTGTCCTTCCCTCACCTCTGGTGTGAGATTATGCTATGGGACACGAATATTTTCTGCATATAGATAGAGATTATTCTTTTCCAAACATTCATACTTTATGTAATATACTTGCAGAAAGTAAAACTAAAGCTGTTATATTCTTTTTTTTTTTTTTTGGTACTGGGGATCGAACTCAGGACCTTGCACTTGCGAGGCAGGTGGTGGCACCACTGTGCTAAATCCCTGGCCCTAAAGCTATTATATTCTGCACACAAGTAATTGGAGAATTGCTGGAGATTTTGTCTTGGATTTAGTTTTCTAAAGTCATCTTGCTTTTATACTTTTTCTTTCTTTTTTTTTAGTGCTAAAAACAGTTGAAAATCTTGGTGTGAGCTATGTGAAAGGAACTGAGCAATATCAGAGTAAATTGGAGACTGAAATTCGAAAGCTCAAGTTTTCCTTCAGAGTAAGTAAAAGGAAAAATGCCCTCAGTTTGTATGTATTTACATACTTAGTGTCAGTTATGGGAAAGGTCTTGTATTAGGCACAAGGCTTTTTTGAAGACTAATGTAGCATAGACTGCATGAAGGTACCTACCGTTTACTGGAGTGATTGATATGGACTCAGAAGATTATAATATGGCAGAGTTGAAGGTTGATCTAAGAAATGTTTGAAGTAGTGAGTACCTAGGTGGAGGGTGTACAAGAAAGGAAGTTAAGAAAGAGGGATTGATATGAGGATAATAGGTCCAGAGGCTTTGATGAGATCATTTCAGTTCTTAGTTTCACCTGATTGAAGCTTTAGTAAAATGATAATTGTCTTGGAACACATATTAAGAGATATATTTTTGTACCTTTTTATTTATGCAGAATTTCTTTATACCTGTTATTCTAGTGCATTTATTTTATTCATGTCATTATTTTTAAGGAAAACTTAGAAGATGAATATGAACCACGAAGAAAGGATCATATTTCTCATTTTATTTTGCGCCTTGCTTATTGTCAGTCGTAAGTATACATTTATACTCTCACTGTCAAATTTGATGTTTTGGGCTATAAATTGTTACATGGGAAGTTGACATACCGAACATAGGAAAACTTGGGAACCAGTGTGTGATAGGTTGAACATTGTTGTAGTGAAGTGTTTGAAACAAGTTATTTACTAAAAAATACTGAAAAATGTTTCTGTTGGTAAATTTTGCCCAATGAGACACTTAACTATTAGAGTACTTCATGTGGGATTTAAAATGAGAAGGGTGTCTTTAGGAAAAAGGACTTTTATGTTTTTTCAAAAAAAAAAAGGTAATATTTATGAGAATTAAACACCTATTTGAACTTGATACAAGTTTTTGGAATTTGAGATGTATGGGTCTATTAGATTTAGTTTCTGGTGGTGCTTGGTTTCTTGTCAATAGTGCCACCCAGAGGGAAAAGGAGTTAGTTGCTTTTTTTAAAACTTGAGGTTTTTTTTCATGCTTATTTAATTTTGGCCAAATAATATAGAGTTGTTTCTTTTTATTAGTAGGTTTATCAAGTGAGAATCTTGAATTCCTTACTATTCCAAAGTCAAAATTGAGAAATTATTCATTGACTTTGGTCTTATATAAAGAAGCATATGTATTATATGTAACATATAGTAAATAGGTTGCTGATAATCTCTGAAAGTCACCTAAAAAAAGAAATCCTATTTTGTGTGCAGTAATTTTTTATTATAATAATACCCATTATTGGCATTATATATTAATGCCTTATGCAGTAATATATTTTGTTAGCTTTGAGATATTGAAGTATACTTGTATATACTAATTTTTGCGAAATTATAACCTGTTAGGGTTATAATTTTACTTTTAAAATTTACTGATCGTCTTCTATTTAGAGATAAAGTTAGCTTTAAAAACTTTGGTGTTGGCGGCTGGGGATTTAGCTCAGTGGTTCCGCTGCCTGCCTCACAAGCACAAGGACCCAAGTTCGATTCCCGGTACCAAAAAAACAAAACAGAACAAAATTTGTTGTTGGACCAGGGATTTAGCTCAGTGGTGCCACTGCCTGCCTTGCAAGCGCAAGGGCCTGAGTTCTATCCCCAGTACAAAAAAAAAAAGAAAAATTTGGTGTTTACTTGCCATTGATGAAACCACCTCAGCCCAAGGGTATACCCCATTTTCAAATGTACATAACTCTTTGACAGTTACATTAAATGCAAGGAACTGATGTTATTTAGTAATCACGTGGGCCTAAAGTAGTGTGTATTTGAACTTTGTTTTAGTTTTTATTTTTGGTACCGGGGGTCGAACTCGGGACCTAGTGCTTGCAAGGCAGGTGGCGGAACTACTGAGTTAAATCCCCGGCCCTGTATTTGAACTTTTATATTCATAATACCCCTTGAACATATGGTGAACACATCCTTAGAATATTGTGGTTTGTGGTATAGTATTCATTTCTTTATCACAGTAGAGAACCTGACTGTTTTTAACTGCTGTCTGTTGGCATCCTGCTTATCTGAATATCATTTCATAAAAAGTTTATGTATTTGGGCCGGGGATTTAGCTCAGTGGTTTTGCTGCCTGCTGCACAAGCTCAAGGACCTGAGTTTGATCCCTGGTACCAAAAAAAAAAATTTATGTATTAAGCAGTAAAGTTTTAAATTTATACTCATAATTTCCTCTTTCAATTTCAGTGAGGATCTTAGACGCTGGTTCATTCAACAAGAAATGGATCTCCTCCGATTTCGATTCACTATTTTACCAAAGGATAAAATTCAAAATTTCTTAAAGGATAGCCATTTGCAGTTTGAGGCTGTAAGTATATTTTTGTCATTATTTCTAGTTGCTTTCACCTTTTATCTCTCCATATTGTGTTAAGTGCAAGTACTAATGTGTGGAGTTCATTTTCTTTACATCCTCTTCTTCAGTTTTTACCTGAAAGAGTACCTAATAGCTTTACATTTAAGTGACATTTATTTATAGTAATAAATTTTAGAGGGGGTAACACTTTCTATTAAGTCAGTTGTAGGGCCGGGGATTTAGCTCCGTGGTACTGCTTCCTGCCTCGAAAGCTCAAGATCCCTAGTTCGATCCCCAGTTTAAAAAAAAAAAAACCAGTTGTGAGTAAAATCTGACTGAATAGTTTTAAAAAATACTTTCTGCAGGCAAATCTGAATGATTTACATATTGTAATTATATGAAAAAGAAGAAACGTCTAGACTATTTAGCACGGATAGTGGGTAGAAATGTAATTTGTATTTTAGGTGGATCTGTATTGTAATGGAAAAGTAGAAAAATCTATTTTGGAAGAATCAGAGCAGTCAAGTGCTAGTGGGACTGGTGGGACTCTGGTGTTTAAATGGGTGGCTTGAGGCCAAATAAAAACTTAGAAGTCGGAGTTGGTGAAAAACATTGTCCTGGCAGTGTATCGACTGCAGCGAAGAACACTGGGTTATAGGAGACGTTGCATGAAGTATGTTAAGGAGCTACTTTCTTTAGTTCTCTCCCTTCCTTCCTGTGTCTCATGAGCTTTCTAAATAACATCTACCGAGGTAGGTAGGGATGGGTGTTGGGCACAGGACTTTATGACCCAAACCCACTACATCTTCACTTGCTGTTAGCTTTGATCTTTTGTGAAGTCCATTATTGTTAGTGTCAATTCCATTTAACTTATACTTTCATATTAGAAATAGTTTGTTTTTTGCTGTTCTTGAAATTACTGATTTTTATTGGGTCATAGGAAAAAACTGTCCTTGAGAAGGTCCCTTCTGTATTCTAAAGTGTCTTAACACATTGCCATGAATAGTTTATAATAATTTATTAAGATGAAATTCACACAATTTGAAATTCATGCTTTTAAAACATACAATCAGTTGTTTAGTATAGTCAGAGTTGTGCAAGTATCACCACTTTCTTTTTTCTTCTCGACAATGACCCTTACACTTGCGAGGCAGGTGTGGCGCCACCGAGCTAAATCCCTGGCCCTCACCACTTCCTTTTTTTGTAATATTTTCATTACCCTAAAAGTGAAAAGCATTAGTAGTCACTCCCTATTCTTTCTCCCAATTCTTGGCAGCCATTTCTTGCATGCATTTATGGGGATGGAAACATGAAGATTTGAGTTCTTTTATTATTGCTTTGATAATTCTCTGTATTCTGTGTTCTCTCTATTCTCTTGTTAGTTGGGATTTGGTCCTTCTGGATTGGTTCTCTTAATTTTACTTCTGTCCTGATATCAAGTCTTTATCTTTTTGGTTTTTTTTCCAGGGAATTTCTTCAGCTGTTTTCTCTTTTTTCTACATATTTATTTCTGTGTTTTTTTTCTCCCTTGTGTCACCCCCACCCCCCCAAGTACTGTGGATTGAACCCAGGACCTTCATACTGAGCTACATCCCAGCTTTTAAAAATTTCTTACTTTGAGACAGGTTTTGCTAAATTGCCCAGCTTCCCAGAGTACTGGGATTACAGGTGTGTGCCACCATGCCTGGGTTCTTCTCTTTTCTTTTGGACTATTTTTCAGCTCCTTTTGTTGTTTATTTACCTCTCCTTCCTTTATTTAGTATACCTGTATTAAACAGTCTTTCATGTTCAGTGTTTTCCTTAAAGGTCTAATGATCCTTAGCTATTTGTTTATGTTTAAGATTGAGATAATAAAAGGTAGATAGGAAGGTTGAGGGTTGTGTGTATGCATAGTTGCATTAGGCACCTATTCTGTCTTACTTAGTCACTTAAATGTTTTTGGTTGTTGGATGACCCCTGCCAAACTCAAGATTTCAGAGAGGAAACCTCCAGTCTCCTTTCACAGTGACCTATGACCCGTGTTTTAACATGTAGATTTTTATATTGGACAGCCAGAGTTCACTGTTTACTTTTTCTGTAGTGATTTTTATTTAACCCCTTATTGTTTTGCCTTCTTTAACTCACTTCTTTCATCTTGTATATTTGATACTTCTGATTTTGACTTTTTCTGGTGCTTTTTGAGGTCCTATCAGCTCTCTTCTTCACAGTAGCATTTTTTTTTTTTTTTTT